GGGCGGCCGGCCTCCCCCGGCGTCTGCGGACACAGGAGAGGGAGATCAGCTGCAACCGGGGCTGCGGTTCCGAACGGGCCGCGTCCCGAGGCTCTGCGGCGGCCAGCGAGCAGCCGGCACGGGGCACCCCTGCCTTGAGGCTCAATCCCAACCCCCGTACCATCGGGAAACCACCCCAGAGTACCAGGCGACATCCTGATATTGCTTATGAGGCGCGAATTAAGTGGCCACAAAGTAACACAAGTGATGCAGCCGTCATACAGAAAGCATATAAATAAAACCGGGAGGGAAGAAATGGTGAACAGCAAGTACTGAATACCATCAAACTGAGAGCAAAGTCTTAGCTTTTAAATTACATTTCACAACGAAAGTTCAGCAAAAGGCTCTTTTCAGCCCTTTCTAGTAGCTGTGAACTAAGGATGTAGTTGTGCACATCGGGAACAAGGCAGCCGGCCCTGCAGTTCACAAGTACTATTCTGCGATGCCAGGAACTTTTGTATTAATACAAGTTCCCAAAAATAAACTGTGACACAATAGAAAATACCAGCTCTGAGAGACTGTTTTGTACACATGTGCTGAAAAATTATGTTAGCCTATAAAATATGCAACATTTGTAACACTCTACAGCCCTCATTGCATAGTCCTTCTTCAACAAGTATGAAATCCTATGTCCTTAAAAAACTCAATGACCCCAGATGTCCTTCGTTTAAAGGGTCATGAGGCTTGGGGCAGCTGTTTTGTCAGCCAGAAGCACACTCCAGACAAGCCTGCATCTGCAGTGTGCGTACCAGCCACCTGGGATGCCTCATGCACTCCCTAAGCAGCACCACTTGAAAAGTAGATTCTTTTTCCTGGTGCACAAGAAAGAATTAGCCTGGATCCTCCTCTATTCCCCTCTGGTCCTGCACATCCAACAGCTAAGGCAGGATGTAATCTGCTGACTGACCTTTGCAGGTAGCCATTCAACACTACCAAGATCTTTAGTTTTCATCAATAACAGGGAGGATGGGTGGAAAGGGAGTCTGGCTTCTCCCTCATAAAAACTAATAGTAAAAATAAAACAAGATTCAAGCTGAAAATTGTATTTCCTAAAAACCTACAATATTTGATGGTTTTCTCGATCCCAGCAGGTAATTTATTGCAGTGCTTATGAAGGTTTTAAGCAGTCATTTTTTCACACTGAAAATTTAAGGTCTTTCTTACCGGCATCTCGATTTGCAGTACATCTGAGCTTCGGCATTCCTGCTTGAAAAAGGCCTCCAAGGCCAGGTGGTCCACCACCACTGGAGCCACCACCACTGCCACCACCAAAACCCCCGCCACTGACACCTCCTCCAAAGCCACCTCCTCCAGATCCTTTGGGTTCTGTAGGGAATAAAAGATCCCCCAGGTTAGTGAAGCAAGACTGATCCTGCAAAATCACCTCTTTCCTTAGAGTAATGCTTATAGCTGGGGAAAAATGGATGAACTTTGAAAACACACAAGGTTTGGATCATCACCACCACCACTGTACTGTAGAGGAGCTGGGGAAGTAACCATAATAACCATAGCCTCTGTGTTTTATTAAGCCATCACTTTAGTCTGCTCTAGACTGGGGAGCAGAGCAAATTGCTGCAGAGAATTTAGAACTGAGCATGGATGAGACCTCTGAGAATATAATTTAGTCTTTGTTAGCACCTTAGTTGCTTCTTCCTGTTTCTTTGTACATTTGCTCTCTTATGCTTCCCCTCCACTTCTCCATAAGCAGAGACAGGGCAATCTCATGGGAAAAAGGGAAGGAAGGAGGAAGGCAGGTTCTTCCTTTGGAAGGTGTCTCTGGGGATCACTGCTGGGAGCGCACAGAATTCTCTCATTATTGATGATATTGCAACATATCTACTTATTTAAACAAAGCCTAGTAGGAAAGGAGATGCCATTACTGTAGGTTCAGAAGTGCTGTTACAGGATCATTAGCTGTCAATGCTTCCAATAAGCAGGAATTATTTTATCAGCCCTCCCCCTTTTCCTCTCCCATTTCTCTAATGTCAATATTTCTGCTGACAACTGAGTTGCCAAAAGTAAAATGGAAGTGTTTCCTCAACTACAGAGGAAGAGCCTTACTCAGAGAATCACTGCAAAATCAGCAGGTGCACAGGTTGGGGTATCTGTGGAGATCAGCTCTCAGATGCTGGGCCACACAGGCTAAGATCAATTGCTTAATTTCTTGGAATCTTGATTTCTATAACTTTGGGTGGGTAAAAATTTCACTGACTTCAAAGTAATTAAAACCTGTGGATAAAAAGCACTTCTAAAAATTTCCCCAAGGAAGAAGGAAGAGTGTATCCATGGGGGGGATGTTTCACATTATCCTCTTTCTTAAGCATGTCAGCTCAGTTTGGCTCTGACTCAGATAGGGTGTGACCCTCTGGAGAAATGCTGCTACCATGCTTTAGTCTTTCATCATGATTTGTAATTTCATGTAAATAAGATAATAGGCTGCATCATTTTTATCTTACCGTTCACCCCCTCCTTTAATCCCCTCCAGCTCATTACTATACTTAGAATATGTAACTTGACATTTAGAGATAATCTTTAAAAACTGTAGCTGTCTGACTACAGGACTGTATCTAATTTTTATTTTTTTAATTATTTTTATTTGGTCACACTCCTCTGGGCATTTCCTTCTTTCATCATCATGTTCCTATCACAGTCCAGATTTTAATTGCACGGCCAAACCTAGACTGAGGTGTATTACATTTTCTAATTAGTCTGTAGAAGTGTCTTTTCTCCTTAGGTAATGAATGCTGTTCCTCTGTCAGCACAGGCCTGTGCTCCTCGCTCTTCTCCTGTTTCTTTCTGCCTTCCCAATACTTTTGCTACATGGGCTTCTCCAGCCTCCTCCTGGCACGTACCAAGATGTGCTGTGAGACACAGCTGGATAAAGACCTTATTTCCATTCAGGTAAGTAGAGTCACTGCCTTGTGCAGTACTGCTGGGCTTGCTGAGCAGCAAGGCTCAGCCAAAAAGGTAACACCCCTGAGTCACTCCAGGAGTGGCAAAACTGCATGCAGCAGTGACACACAGGTAGAGCAGTGGCTTCTGGCTCTGGTTTTGCTCTAAGTGCTACTGGAGCCAGTGGTGTCACGCCAGGCATGCATTTATTCTTATATTGTTTATGCGAAAGTAGAGTCTGAAATCCCACTTTATTTTCTGTCCTCTCCTCAGTCCTTATGGGGGTTTTGTTTGCTTGATCTGCTGCAGGTCCTCAGCAGAACTCCTGGTAGGGTTTGCATAGTTTTCTGATATAAGCAAACAGGAAAATAAATGACTTTATGAAAATTAGCAAACAAATTAGCATTCACATTTCATAAGCCATACTTGATTTCTCAGCTTACTGTTCATTCATGATGAATAGAATTTATTTTTGTGCATGATAATTTCTGTCACATTCTTTTATCTACTCTCATAGCAATTCATCTGATGATATATAAAATAATTTTCTGCTTTCAGATCTTTAGAACCATTCATGCCTACAGAAATTCCAATATGTAGAATCATACTTACTGTCTAGAATTGGAGCACTTCTGTCATTAGTAACAGTCTTCTTGAGCTTTTTTCCTTTGGTAATATCAGATAATAGAGCATTTCGCCCTGCTTGTTCTGACCTGCTTAGGGATGGCTTTTCAGTATTTGCCTGCAAAACAAAAATTAAAAATGAGGAGGCAAAATAGATCCCAACATCTAGATACAAAGTTCTGCTCAAATATGGTAGTTACTTGAGACTTCAGTGTCTGTTTTAACAGCACTGGAGTGGATAGGTAGCACACCATGTCTAGTTTTGTGAATGATACTACAGGTAGCTGGCCTTGTTACTGACTCAGAGTCCCCAACACTACTGCTATTCTAACCCACATTATTCATTAGAAACAGAATACTTCTATGTGAATTCACCTTTTCTGAACTGCTGATTTAGAATCTCTGATTTTTTAAAGCCAAGGCATATCTGTGGCAAACTGCCATTCTGGAGACTGAACAAGAACAGACTACACACAAGTTGATTATCCAAGAAGGTATTCTTGAAAGTTGTGGTGAAATGCAATTTTGAGATAAATCAGAGCAAAGATGGACCTTTGCCATTTTTAAGTATTTCTTTCTAAGCTAATATAGTAGACAATCACCACTTCAATAATATTGGCCTCTTCATATAGACCAAATAAAACCTTTGGATGTATGAGGTTTGTCTCAATGATCCTGTCTCTTCAATTTATGATTTGGTGACACAGTTTTTCAAGCAAGAACAAAAAAACTCCAAACAATATGCACTTATGCACATACACATATATATGGCTCTTTCTTCTAGGAAACAGTTCCTGAAACATTTTCTAATTTATCAGATCAGTGTAATGGAGATTTCCTGAAAGGTGGGGAGAGCTGTCATGGAGGGACCAAGCAGAGTATATATCTTGCTTGTGGTGGAAAGACTCTTGAGAGACAGCCCATTCTGTGTAATCATCTAGGGTTTTGCTCTGAAAAAATCTAGGTACTTCAAAATGGCATTTCAAGAAGCCTCTTCCTTCTTGTCAGTGAGGTGACTGACTGTTGGCAGGGCAGGCACAGCACAAGCTCTATTCCAGTTTAAGTCAGGTCTGACGTAGTTTCACCCACCATGTTGTGCCAGCAGTGGATTCTGTGCTCTGATACCACAGGCTGGCTGAGGGACTTATGCTAGCTAAGAGTTATCCTTACCAAATTTAAACAATTGGATTTATTTTTTTCCAGCTCAAGTCACAGAAATACTCCAGTAGAACAAGGGAGAAGGTGGGGCTACAGGTTCGGAGAAAGGCAAGAGGATAGCAAGACTTCAACTCCCCATGGAAAAGCTGTTGTCTTTCCACTAGACCAACCACTAGTGTGGGAGGAATAAAAGGATGGAGAGTTAGAGTGGACAGTGACATACACATGAGAACTGGAAGGCAGTGTAAGTGATAGTCCTTCTCGTAAGATCAATGACCAACCATAAATAATATGTTGGAGACCTTTCACCAAATATCATGGATACCCTCATCCACACCTCAGTATCTCTGGACATCCTGTTCAAAGTGACAAGCAGCAGCAGAGAACAGTGCGTGTATTTACCTCCCATAAAACTTACCAAGGCCAGTGTTGGGGGTGGAGGGGGAGCTGGAGGGGGAGGCACAGGCATGGTGGAAGGCTGAGCTCTGTCTGCTCTTGCTAAGAAACCTGCACAGCAAAACACAAACACACAAAGTCCAGAGATTAATACATTTTAATAAATACATTTCTACTCAGCTAAAGAAACATCCTTGCAGTGAACAGGTTTATGTTCTGTATTTTTGAAGTCTAAATAATCGATCAAAAGCATTTTAATTATATGGAAACCAGCTGCATCTTTAAACAGGGGCTCCCTACATGATCCCCACTGCCATACAAATTCATAGATATACATCCAGTTTTGAACACTTACACAATCCATGCATTGCTATGGCAGTACACAAAATGCAGTAACCAAATTGAACTCTGTTAAACCCAACAATCTTGCTCCCATGGAAGTGCTTCAGCATAGTCCCACAGCTATACCATCAACTCTTACCTAAAGAAGGCATCATACTTAAAGATCATACTCAGGAAGAGTTGCTGATTTGTTAAATCCCTTTAGTTGCTAAAAGATTCCTCCACCTACACTGTTATAGGTAGAGTGGAACAGCAGAGCTCTGGGACAGACTCATGCTTCTTCCTCTCTCCCTGCTTGCTCTGAAGATCCCAAGCTCCAACATCATGTCTGAATACACCTTCCTCCTCCTCAGAAGTAGCACACACAGACATGATCTGGATATTCTCCCTAAGGAAGAAGAGCAAGCAGGCAGCCTGGCCTCTCAGCTGCAGGCTGCTGCAGACAGAAAAACCTGGTGATAAAGCTCAGCCCTTCACAAGCTTCCCTGCCAGAGACCAGGCTCACACTTTTCCCTGCCGCAAGCTGAACTTTCAGCTTCGAGCAATCCTAGGAGGGTCACACCTGAGATACAGAGATTTAGTACAACAAAATTATGGAACAACCAAAAAATAAAAAAAGGCCCAAGTATCAAGGACTGTATTTTCAAGTCACAAGGGCTTTTTGTGGCATTTTGGCATACAGCTTGCTGGAACTGTGCCTATCAGGGGCTTTGGAGCGTTTCTAATAGTGCTATGGCATTTCAGCATGTCCTTCACTCTTTTATCTGAGCTTTCACCCATGCTGGCCATTCACCTGAGCCACCTTTAATAACAATGATTTCCCACCACTTATATAATGTTTGCATAAGACAGGTAAACACAGTGGAAATAGGAACAATGGTAATTCTCCAGACAACCCCAGGCTGATGGCTGAGATCCACAGGGCACTTATTTACATGAACACACTGCTCTTACTTTTTAAAGTAACTTGATTGTATTAGATGAAACCGAGGGGAAGTGTAATAGCACAGTATCTGTTAAATCAACATCATGCCACATACACTAACCTTTGCAGTTAAAATGAACATTAGGAAAATGTGCTGAATGAAACAAAATGGCATTTGCAGTGAGTCACCACCTACGAAGTCTGTAATGGCTCTGACATGATCCATGATATGCGTGTCAGAAAAAATTGTTTAGAAGTACAGATTTATCTCATCAGATGCTCAAGCTTCAAAAGAATTAGAATACAGCTGTAACTCCCCCTTCCCACCCCCCTCTCCCCCCCAAATTGCTGAGTTACCTTCCTCAGAAGAAATATTTTCTGAAATAAGACTTTAGTGGATTTTATGTAAAATCTTTAGGGAGGAAGGAGTCAAACACATCACCCATAGCTCTGGCTGACCATCTAGAAAAATCATGACGTTCAAAGTGGTGTGAGACACTAGTGCTGTCCCAAGTGTCTGCAGGTTTTCTTCTCCCATACTGCAGAAACTGTTTCCAGCTACTGCGAAAGAGCGAGCAGAGCAGAGGGGAAGCTGGCGGATAGACAGACTGACTGACAAAAGAGGAAACTGTGTGAAGCCAAGCCTACACAGTGCTGTGCAAATGCACGCGTTCACAAAGTCCTGCAAACAGACCATCCTGCTCTCATCAGTCCTCTGCTGCATTACTGAGCATCTTAAGCTCCTCCAGAGAAACAACAGATTCATATTCAGAGGTTCAGCTTGAATTTAGTTACATTTCCATCTTCCAAATCTGTAGCTCTCATAGAGCTCTGCACAAAGCCCTATCCTTTCCCAATCAGCATATTCTAAATGCAGTATTTGAAATCTGAAACCTATTAAAAGCACCAAGACTAATGCTGCTTTGTTCTTCAGCTTCCTGTTTAAAAAATTGGTCAACAGGAAAATAATTTCTTACAGTAGACCACAACCATCCTGTTTCTTAACACAGTCTTTTCACAGCTGCAGATGTCTCTAACTTAACTGTGCCATGAGGGTATTCCACCAAGCTTTTAACTGCTTCATCAGACTGAAAGGAGAAATTCTTCTCTCTGCATTGCTTTGCTAAGAAGTCAAAGCAGTCTAGCTAGTGTACCATCAGTCTCTTTGGCACTCCATGTGTCACAGTAAAGTTTCTGGAGCAGGCAGACTACAGTTTGGTTTGATATCAGGCTTTTAAATGAAGGAAGCTCAGATCTGAATGCACCAAGTGAGCCAGGTGGTCTGTGAAGCACTTTCTGTAAAATACCATAACTTGTCTACCTCCCTAACTAATCTCCTAACTTGCCAGTTAGAGATTGTTTCCCACTTGGGCTGCTCTGTTCTACTTTTTCCCCCTTTTAACTGGATTGTTTTAGATCAGCTTCTTAGGGAATTGGTGGCATAAAGAGGAAGTAAGGTGATGCTTGAAGCCTGAGCTCTCTAAGGGGAAGCCACTACCCACAAAAACATCCAGCTTCTCCAAAAGCCTCTCTGCACACATGATTTGCAAGGAGACAAACGTGGTGAGAAAGGCACTAGGTGTTCCCTCCTTCTCTACCCCATCTTACACGTACCTGTACTCAACCACTGCACATTAGCCAGTGTTTCTGGTACTGGAGAGCTCTCTCAACAGAGCTGCCATCGAAATTAGGCACACACTGGTGAGCTTGCACTTTGCTGCTGTTGAACAAGCCCTACAGCCCTCAGAGACAGGCTGGGAAACAGCATTTTGGAAGCACAGGACAAGCTTCTGTAATAAACCAAACTCTGGCAAAACTGGCCTGAAGTTTATCAAGAGCATCCTGCTGCAGGGTTGTTTACTCAGGGTGCTCTAGAGCACACACTTCCTTTAGGAGCCATCAGAAAAGAGATCACATGATGTGACTGAGAAACCTGTGTGCCCACACAAAATGTGCACACTTACAGAGCCCATAAAACACCCTAGATTGTAAAATTTTAGTTTAAAACCTAAGTTGCAATACTGCTTCACTCTTACTTTTGCCACTCTGACTCTGCTCCTGCTGTTGAAAAAGAGATTTTTAGAAACTCAAGCTGAACCTTTGCAGGAAGAAACAGCACCTCTGTCTTTGAAGCTCTAACTCATCCTGCTGTTTGGTTGTTAGACTTTGTACAATCTATTTCTTTGTCTGACTCACTGTAAGCAAAAATAAAAGAGGTGCTCTCTGGATTTTAAAATTTGATCCCTATAAGCCCCTATGAAGAATAACAATAGTCTGAAGAGATGCAGTGACCTAGTGACTTGCTCCCCCAGTACACGACAGAGCTGGGAGTAGCCCTTGGGATGAGAGCTACTCTTGGGCTGCAGAACCAAAGCGGCTGAGTCAGCACAATGCTGAACTCAAACTCTGCAGCTGCTTTGATCATCACCAGTTCACAAGACCACTGTTTCTTACAGAACACAGAGATGTCTTGAGTTGTTAAGTGTAACTCTGCAATTAGAGGAAAGCTTTGGTTACTGTCCTACATTTCTGCAGAGGACTCACATCATTTGCTCTTGGTCAGTGGGGAAGAGCTGAATTTAAGGAAAGGGTATGAAAATAGGCTAGAAAATGTTAAACTGCTAAAGGCTGGCACTACAAAATACTTGAAACAGTAACCAATCCACCTAGTAATAAATTTTACCCACCAAATCTGTTAACAACCAAGTTTCTTATAATGCCTGGTGCTGCAGGGTGTTGAAGAGGAACTGGTTCCAGAAGACCAAGGCTGAAGGTGACACGTGTCCTAGCATATTTTCTAGGCACCAGTGTAAATTACCACAGCTTTTAAGAAGCTATGTAGAAGCATTATGTCTGGGTGAGTGTCGGTGGAGCAGCAGAAAGGACTGCAGTAACTAACCTGCATACATACACTGCAGCATCAGCCAGTGAGCACCAAGCACAGAGGTGTGGACTGCCAGCACAAGAAGGATTTCCACAGCCAGCCGCAGCAGCTGCTCTCCCACTGCGCCAGCAGCAGCGCAGGTCCATGGGCCAGGAGCAGGCACCCACCCCTGCAACCCTCACTCTCTCTGCCCTGCCTGGGCCGGCGCCCTGGGGCTGGGGCAGCCTCCCTGCAGCCTTCCCGGGAGCGGAGCTCATGGAGCCCACGTCTGCTGCCTCTGGGAAAAGCCACCCTCGCTGCCAGCAAATGAGATGATCCAACACTGCCTAAGTAAAGAATACCTGCATACAGAAATTAATTTCTGCAAACTACCAGGTACATCCAGCAGCCGCCACCAGGAACGACATTAAAATGTTGTGTTAGGCAATGCACCACGATAAAGACTCCTTTAATTTAAAAACTGAAATAGATGAGAGAGGGAATATACATCGCATTCTGCAAAGAGCTCCTTGGTCTGCAGAGTAATCCATAAAGAGCAAAAATGGCACTACACTGAATCTAGTGAAACACAAATTTTGGGCACTTCAGATTTCATTTGGTATTTCAGAATTCTTTTCAGGAGCATTACGAATGCTAAAAAGAAACAAAATGAAACAACCTTTATTGTTGGATGGACAGTGTGAACAACCACACTGCAAGCGCATGGTTTGTATCCGGTCAGGCATTTTGAGCTGCTTGAAGGCCCTCCCTCTTAAACATTGAGTCAGAGGCAGACAGACAAACTCACTGTGGTTAATCATTTCCTGCATGATTAATTTCTAAGCAAAAAAAGAGGAAGGAACAAACAACTGTAGAAATAAAACAGAATTTATAAATTTAAGGGGAAAAAAATCCTGAACTTGCCAATTAAAAATGCTGATTGCTCCCCTATGCAAAAGTTCCCAGCTTCCAAACCAGTAC